CAAGTGATCTTTTTGCTTCAGCCTCCTGAGCAGCTGGGACTATACATGCGTGTCATGGCTAGTCTTTCTATCTTTTGAGTAGAGAGGGGGTCTCACTCTTGCTCAGGCTTGTCTGGAACTCCTGAGCTCAAGCAATCCACCTGTTTCAGTCTCTAAGAGTGCTAGGATTACAAGGGTGAGCCACTGCACTCAGCCAGAATTTCTTTTCCTTTCATGGTTCCCATGTGATCCCTTTCATTTTCAAGGCACCACGCACGGGTTGAGTTCTTCCCATGCCGTGAATCTCTATGACTTTCCTTTCCTTTCTGCTACATCTATTTGACTTGTCTTTTGCTTTTACTTCATGTGATTATAATGTACTTATCTGGAAAATCCCAGCTAATCCTTTCATCTTGCAGTCAGCTTCTTATGACTTAATTTATATTTGTAAGGTCCCTTTTGGTTTCTCATTTTGGGGGCGGGGGGCAGAGTCTCACTCTGTACCCTAGGTAGACTGTTATGGTATCACAGTTCACAGAAACCTATAACTCTTGGGCTCAAGCGATCCTCTTACCCCAGCCTCTCAAGTATTTTTAGATGAGACTACAGGCACCCACCACAATGCCCGACTAATTTTTCTATTTTTAATAGAGACAGAATCTTGCTCTTACTCAAGCTGGTTTCAAACTCTCGAGCTTGAGGGATCTTCCCTCCTTGGCTGCCCAGTGTGCTAAGATTATAGGCGTGAGCCCACCTGCTCAGCCTGTAAATTTTCTTTTGCCATGTAATGTAACTTAACCATAATAGAAATAGTAGAAGACAAAGATTATAGGGTTCAGGGTGGTGCTTGTGGTTCACTGAGTAGGGCACCAGCCCCATATACTGAGGGTGGCAGTTTCGAACCTGGTCCCAGCCAAACTGCAAAAAAATAATAGCCGGGCGTTGTGGTAGGCACCTGTAGACTGAGACAAGAGAATCACCTAAGTCCAAGAGCTGGAGGTTGCTGTGAGCTATGATGCCATGGCACTCTACCAAGGGTGACAAAGTGAGACTCTGTCTTAAAAAAAAAAAAAAAAGATTATAGTGTTCAAATTCTGCCTACTACAGTACTTATTGGAAGAAATGAGCAAACAAAAAATATTCCAACATAAATAGCTAGAAAATTTGCCAAGACCATTCATGTTCTCAGCTTTATCAGTTTTAATAATAATAATCACTCTACATCCTGTGTCTACTATAAGTCGGGAGATGTATGAGAAGCTATATGTCTGTTATCTCGTGTATTTCTTTAAGAAAGTCAAATAGCAGGCTTGGCGCCTATAGCTCAAGCAGTTAAGGTGCCAGCCATGTACACCTGAGTTGGTAGGTTTGAATCCTGCCCAGGCCTCCCAAACAACAATGACAACTACAACCAAAAAATAGCCGGGCGGTGTGGTGGGCTACCTATGGTCCCAGTTACTTGGGTGGCTGAGGCAAGAGAATTGCTTAAGCCCAAGAGTGGGAGGTTGCTGTGAGCTGTGATGCCATACCACTCTACCCAGGGTGAAAGTTTAAAGCTCCGTCTAAAAAAAAAAAAAGAAGAAAAACAAATAGCAAATTGAGAGACTTCACAGTACATTATGTAGTTTGTTGTGAGAATTAATTTAAGTAATATGAGTTGAGTACAGTGCCTGATATAATTAAGAACTCATTGTATCACTTATTGTTGCTTTTCTTGTTATTCCTATTTAGAGATAAGATCATTGTGACCCTGGAAATTGACCTAACTTGCCCAGGACCATGTGGCTAATAAGTAACACAGCATGAATATAGATTGTCTAACTTAAAGTGTGGAAATAAATGGAAAATATTATATGCAAAAAAAATTTGAATAACATAACATCCAGTGATTATCAATTACTATCATTATTATTAATATAAATACTAGTTATGCTATTGCCCTAAAAAGCCATAACATTTCTAAAAGCTACTCAATGTTGACTTAATTAAGTCCAAATTTCTTATCTAGCTAAAACGTACCCACCTCCTATTCCATTCTACATCCTCTCTCTCAGCAACCCTGTATATGCCTTTCAGTTATTTTCTTTTTCTTTTTTTTTCTTAAGACAGAGTCTCACTTTGTTGCCCTAGGTAGAATACCACGGCATCACAGCTCACAGCAACCTCAAACTCTTGGGCTTAAGGGATTCTCTTGCCTTAGCCTCCCAAGTACCTGGGACTACAGGGGCTCACCAAAGCACCTGGCTATTTTTAGAGGCTATTTTTAGGTCTTGCTCAGGCTAGTCTCCAACCTGTGAGCTCAGGCAATCCATCTACCTTGGCCTTCCAGAGTGGATTATCTTCAAAATCATATTCTTTTTTTTATTTTTGATACAGAGTTTCACTCTGTCTCCTGGGCTAGAGTGAAGTGGCATGATCATAGTTCATTACAACCTTGAATTCCTGGGCTTAAACAATTCTCTTGCCTCAGCCTCCCAGACAGCTGAGACTATAAGCATCTGCCACTGTGCCCAAATAATTTGTTCTTTTTTCATAGAGATGGTGTCTTGCTCTTGCTCAGGTTGATTTTGAATTCCTGACCTCAAGCAATCCACCTGCATTAGCCTCCCAGAGTACTAGGATTACAGGCATAAGCCACATCTCCCTGCCATCAAAATCATTTTCACAGTCTCAGTGTGGTAGCTCACACCTGTAATCCTAGCACTCTTGGAGGTTAAAGCAGGTGGACTGCTTGAACTTAGGAGCTGCAGACCAGCCTGAAGGAAAGTAAGACTGGTGGCGGCGCTCGTAGCTCAGTGAGTAGGGCTCTGGTCACATACACCCAGGCTGGCAGGTTCAAACCCAACCCTGGCCTGCTAAACAACAATGACAACCACAACAACAAAAAATTAGCTGGGTGTTGTGGTGGGCGCCTATAGTCTCAGGTACTTGAGAGGCTGAGACAAGAGGATCGCTTGAGCCCAAGAGTTAGAGGTTGCTATGAGCTTTGATGCCTGCCATGGCACTCTACTGGGGGTGGTGGTGGGCTGTGTCTCAAAAAAAAAAAAAAAAAGGTGGAAAAATCCCTCCGCAGGGTGGGGATTTCAGTAGTATAATAAGCAAGGGGTTAATGTTGTTCATTCTTTTAGTCCTGTGCACAGGCTCAGCGGCTCCTGGTCACAATCTGCCATGGCTTATCACTTACTTGGACTTTCTCCTGACATTCTGGTAGAGTAAGGCGCTATAGTTATCTCAGGGCTGCAAGGAGGTTCTGCTGTTTACTTGGAAAAACTCAAAGAAATTGTATCAGTGTACAGAAAAATTAAAAAGTTCTGTTCAGCAATTTGTACTTAGACTTCTCTGTCTCTTCTCCGCTTTTTTCTAAGACTGCTGTTGGTAGGCCACTGGAGCTGAGATAACACTCCCTGTTTCACCCCTGTGAAGTCAAGGCCACTTAGCTGCCTGCTTCAGTTCTGAAGTGAACCCCAGAAACTCCTTTTGAATATGAGGGAGCTCAGACACTAGATAATTATAAAATTTTGTTATAATACTGGTCACAATAAGATAGTTTTAGATTTTTGCCAGTTTCCTTAATGTCTGAGGTAAGAGAGTTTTTTATCTGCTTCTGCATTCAATGTTTTAATATCTCACATCAATTTTCTAGAAACTTCTGGAAAATTCCCTTGAACTCTCCTGACTGAAAGAATGAAAAAAGTAAGTATCTTCATATTACTGTTAAAATAGTATTGACATTTAAAGCCACCTCTCTCTGCCATCAAAATCATATTCACAGATGATGATCTCGGAGATGAAGAACCTGATAGTTTAGAAAATGGGATTCTGTTAATGACTTAACAACATTCTAGACTGACTTTGACTCATTTTTCTGGTAGCTGGAAGTGACAAGGCCAAGTTAGGATGGTTATAATTTCCTGCACTTCCCACACAAAGAGCACACAATAACAACCAATCGAGCACCTATTGAGTGAACCCAGGATAACCATTAAGAAAGGTATTCTCTAGCAGCAGGCCTCCAGGCACCTGGGACAATTTAGGCAACTCAAGAAAAAGATAACAAGCCGGCCAGGTGGCTCTCTTCTGTAATCTTACCATTCTAGAAGGCCCTGGAGGGAGGATCCCTTGAGCTCAGGAGTTTGAAACCAGTCTGAGCAAGAGAAAGACCCGTCAATATTACCAATAGAAAGAATTTGCCTGACGTCCTGGCACTAGCCTGTAGTTCCAGCTACTATAAGGAGGCTGAGGCACAGAGGGTCGCTTCAGCCCAGGAGTTTGAGGTTGCTGTGAGGTGGCTGTAGGCTCCACAGCACCCTAGCCTAAGCGACAGAGAACTCTACCTCAAAATAAATACATAAATGTTTAAAAGCAAAAAGGAAGAAGACAGCAGTGTGAGCACCACTCTCTTAAGTTGCAAAACTTAAAGGGTCATGAAAAAACTCAATAATCAAGATAAATAGTTTAATACAATACCTTAAAATTTCAAATCGGTTAGGTACGTATTTTAGGTGGCTTGTTTTTGTAAATAAACGCTTCTGATAATAATTTTCGAAAAACGATCCAAATTTTCACAGAAACCACCAAGAAAAAAAAAGTAGTGAGACGCCTGCACCCACTGGGTTGAGTGGGTGGTGCGAAGAGATGGGTGAGGAAAGCCCAGGGACTGCAGGGAGGAAGCGCTCCAGGACGCTAACTGCGGGTGGCCCTTAACTGATTTCCACTTTCCCTCCTTGCATGTATCCCCGCCCACTCCTCACACTCGTCTCTGATTGGCTGGGCTGGCACACGTTCGCGCTGCCAATGGCTCGACGTTCGCGCTGCCATTGGCGGGGGCGGAGGGGATGGGCCGAAGGAGATTTACCGGAGCTAGTGCAGGGGGAACCTCCATTGTGAGCGGCCGTTGCTGTGCTGAGCGGTTGTGGGCAGAGCTGCTGCCGGCGCGGCGTCGCTAAAGGTACGTTGGGGTCCGACAGGGGCCCCGCGCGGGCGGCGGTTGGCCGAGCGGCGGTTTCGCGGACGCCCAGCGCTCTGTGAGGGGAAGCCGCGGAGCCTTCAGAGCATGGGCTAGCCGGGCGGTCGTGGTGGAGTTCACCGAATAAAAGGCGTCCGCGAGAGCGCTGGGGTGGATTTGGCCGAAAAGTCACCCCTGAGGGGCGAAAGGAGGGGAGCCCTGGCGAAGCGGGAGTGTGTTGCGTCCCGCTGCTGAGGCGGCTTGCGGCAGGGCTGCGCAGGGAACTGGCCTCAGTGGTGTTGGTTTTCTTTATTTTTTTCTTGACGAGTAAGTAAAACCTTGGTCTTCGCCAGAGGGCTTTGGCAAGTTAACGAATGAGATTTAATTCCTACTCCCGGCTTTGTTATCGTATTCCCTTATTTCCTTGAGTTGTTTTAGTCATCTTTTATCTGAAGAACCAAATGCTGAATTCCACCAGGCGTTCTTGGTGCATATAGTCAGGAAGTAGGTAATAGACCATCAGGGATAATATAAAATGCTGAGTAATGAGGTAAAATGTTGTTCCTCTGTTGAGTTTACCCATGTAGTGATGCTATGATTTAATGAGGAAAGACTAAACTGGTGCTGTGGCTCACACCTGTGATCTCAGCGCTCTGGGAGGCCGGGGCCAATAGATTGCTTGAGTTCAGGAGTTCAAGGTCAGCCTGAACAAGACTGAGAAACCTTGTCTCTAAAACTAGCCAGGTACGGTCGTGGGCGCCAGTAGTTCCAGCTACTAGGACGGCTGAGGCAAGAGGATCACTTGAGGCCAAGAGTTTGAGGTTGCTGTGAGCTATGACAGCATGGCACTCTACCCAGGGTAACAAAGTGAGACTGTCTCAACAAAAACAACAAAAAGATTACTTTTACTAGAAGCTCATTGTTATAAATATTTTTAAAAAAATAAACAATTTCCGTCCTATCTACCCTTCCCCCTTACTTCAATTTTAGCAAGCAAGTTCAAGGATGTGTCTAATCAGGAAGCAATAATTATTTTGCTTTTTCTGTTAAAATCCTGCTGCATTTAGAAAACTGATTTCTACCTTTCCATATTAGTATACTGAAGATTGAACTTTATATTACAACCCAACACATTGCTCGCTTTGTGACATACCTTTCTCTGATGTCAAAACTTATATAGGAAATTATACTGAATAATTCACATTAGAAAAATTGTTAGATCCACTTAGACTGTTTTTCAAGATTGAGACTTAATACTATTTTCATTGTGATTTTTGTCATATTTACTTGTAGCCAGTAAATGACCTGCGACATAACTATTTGCAAAACAAATGGGGAAGAACACTCAAGATAAAGATAATTTAGATCACAGGAAAGCTATTGAAAATGCAAAAAGGAAGCATCCGAAAGAAGAATTAATTACACTGAATTCAGCTTTTGTGAAGGATGCCTTTCTTGGTTTGTTTATCCATCAATTCATTTTTTGGAAGTGTTGGATCTTAGTCAAATAATCTACGTAACTCTCAGTCTTATCTGCAGATATGCACAGAACACATCCTAAGATTGACATCTGCTTCATCAGAAATGCATGAGCCATGCCTTATTGGAAATGATTTAAAACCTAGTGTACTTAGGTGCATCTTGACTTTTCTGTTTTGTTTGCCTTACTGTGTATTTCATTCATTTCAGCCTTTAATTGCATTGTATTACCTTGCTACCTAACAACTTGGTCTCCTATGAAACTATTACATGATCCCTGCATGTTTGCCTTTGCATATATCATATTTCTTTTGTAGTGTGTACAGATGTATTTCATTTGATGTAATTGAAATTTAAGTAATATATTCGTTATTAAAAATAAAAATAAAATTGTAACTTTAAGTGGATGAAGAGTATTCTTATTAAGTTGAAAGAGATAACTCAAAAAAAGAACTGTACTCTTCTATTTCATTCTGTATCCCTGTTTGTTTGTTTTTTTTTTTAGAGACAGGCTCATTTTGTCACTCTCAGTGGAGTGCGCTGGTGTCACAGCTCATAGCAACCTCCAGCTCTTGGACTTAGGCAATTCTCTTGCCTCAGCCTTCCGAGTAGCTGGGACTACAGGTGGCTGCCACAACGCCCAGCTATATTTTGTTGCAGTTTGGCTGGGGCCTGGTTCGAACCCACCCCCCTCGGTATATCGGTATATGGGGCTGGTGCCGCCCCTGTATCCCTTTTATTAACAGCAACTTTTTTTTTTTTTTAAGACAGAGTCTCTTTTGTCAGAGGCTAGAGTGCCATGGAGTCACCTTAGCTGGCAGCAACCTCAAACTACTGGGTTCAAGTGATCTTCCTTGTTTTGTTTTGTTTTGTTTTGAGACAGAGCCTCAAGCTGAGCCCCTGGGTAGAGTGCCATGGCTTCACTGCTCACAGCAACCTCCAACTCCTGGGCTCAAGCAAGTCTCCTGCCTCACCCTCCCAAGTAGCTGGGACCACAGGCGCCCGCCACAATGCCTGGCTATTTTTTGGTTGCAGCCATTATTGTTGTTTGGCGGGTCCGGGCTGGATTCGAACCCGCCACCTTAGGTGTATGTGGCTGGCACCTTAGCCGCTTGAGCCACAGGCGCCGAGCCTCAAGTTATCTTCCTTATCTCAGCCTCCCATCTGGCAGAGCTACAGGTGCCTGCTCCAATACCTGGCTAATTTTTTTATTTGTAGTAGAAATAGGTCTTGCTCAGGCTGGCCTGGAACTCTTGAGCTCAAGGGATCCTCCCACCTTGGCCTCCCAGAGTTCTGGGATTACCTAAGCCCATCACGGTCTCCTATTCTTTTTTTTTTTTTTAATTTTGAGACAGAGTCTCACTTTGTCATAGTTGGTAGAGTGCTAAGGCATCATAGCTCACAGCAACTCAAACTCTTGGACTTAAGCAATTCTTTTCTTTTTTTTTAGAGACAGAGTCTCATAGCCCTCTGTAGAGTGCTGTTACATCACAGCTCACAGCCACCTCCAACTCCTGGGCTTAGATGATTCTCCTGCTTCAGCCTCCCAAGTAAGCTGGGACTATAGGTGCCCGCCACAACACCCAACTATTTTTTGTTGCAGTTTGGCTGGGGCTGGGTTCGAGCCCACCACCCTTGGCATATGAGGCCAGCACCCTACTCACTGAGCCACAGGCACTGCCCAAGAGGTGATCTTTAAACTAGATTTTGAAGGACTGTAGAAGGAGGAAAAGGTTAGGTTTATAAGAATATCAGATTTCATCACAGCAGAAAAACCAAATATTGTTTAGGAAAGATAATATAGTCATGGTACTCTGCTTATCTAGAGAATATTAACTATACTTTTGGGGGGGTTAGTTTTTGGCCAGGGCTGGGTTTAAACCTGCTACCTCTGGCATGTGGAGCCGGTGCCCTACTCCTTTTAGACACAGGCACCACCCAAGAATATTAACTATAAGTATTGATTTAATCGAAAATATGAACTTTACAAATTATATGATCTAAATAGTCATCTGAAACTATTGGAAGGTTATATATGGCTAAAATTTGTAGCTCTAGAAATACTGGTTTCAAAGTATTTAAAAATACTAATATTTATTTTTC